AGCCTTGGTGGAAGGTTGGTGTAGGGGTTTACTATCAGGTGCACTATATAAACTCCACCTACAGACCTCCTGACTATCTCAGTGTCTTCCAAGCCGAGTGCTGCCTCCTTCAGAGGATTCACTATTCACTCAGATAGCAGTGCGGCGACACTAGCGTTGCATTCATTTACAGTGCATTCAGGGCTGGTCGAGGAGTGCCCAAACTCACTATCCATACTCTTTGTGCCATAGCGTAATCGCAGGAGACTGCAAAGCTGATGAACTAGCAAGGAAAGACACCATAGAACCACTACCGGTAGAATAGGAGCGGGTAAGTGCCCTCGTATCCTTTTGTCTTCTACTGATAGATAGCTGGGATTCGCGGAAGCTCGGTACATGCGCTGTCACAAAACCTTTTGACCCAAGGCAGATAAAGTGATCTCTTTGGCCTCTCCCTAGTTGGTGGGCTTTTGACAAACCATTGTGCTGTCGCTGAAAGGTTGGTTGGACCAGACAAGGAATTTAAAAAATCAAAATTTTTTACAACTTTTTTTCAACCCCCACCCCCCCCCAATGTACACCATCTTGCCACTGGCCGCTGTTGAAGTGCGAATGTGTTTTTTCCAACTGTATTAATGCTTCACAAATATCACACACACACATTCTCGCACTTGTACCCATGCAAAAAAAAAAAAGAAAAAAACATTGTACACTTGTTCTTAAAGTTTCGCCTGACTTACAAGCATAATAACTAGCTGTGGCACGCTCTCGAGCTGCCGCCGGCGACTGAGTGCCACGGGCCAACGGGAGATTTATAGTTTTCTTGTTTTTTTGAACGCCTTCGCAATTTTTTGCCAACGTCGCCTGCAGCCACTGCTCAATGCGCACGTTCGCAAGCGCCACTCTTCTAAGTGTTGTTGTTGTTGTTGTTGGTGCGTTTTGTATGCTCGCCCAGTGCAAGCAGTTTATTTTGCTTGTAAATTTAGTGTAACATTTCACTGTCGCACGCTCGCTCTGCAATCTTGCACGTGCCACACGCGAATTCGCATTCGCAGCAGTAGCAACAACAACGAGGCGGGCAACAGCAGCTCAGCGGTATTTATCTTTAGCATTGCACTTGAAAATCTCAAGTGGTTGCTTTTCAATTGGTAATTGAAGCAGTTAGTGTGCTCTAGCCCGCTGCTCATTGCATCTATGTAAGTGTGTGTGTGTGCGTGTAGGTGCCTCAAATAGTGGCACTTGTGTTTTCTTACATAAGCTGCTCTTAGCCGCGTGCCTTTTGCGCAGATGCTTATCGCTGTCTTGGCTAGCAGCGCGTGGCACAATTCGACATATGCGTGTGTATGTATGCATGTGTGAGTATATATACAATTTGTGTGTGTGTGTTTTGCATATCAAACAGCCTTAACGCTTACTACATTGCTTGGAGCTAAGCTTTTGCTCTGCTACTTTGAATGCCTTTAGTAGTTGCGCCACTTCAAATGCATGCGGCATGCAGCAGCTGCACGGTTTGCGGGGCGTGCGTGTAAAATACAGTTGCAAAGCATTATAAAAACACGCAGATAACGGCGAGATGAAGTACTAAAGGCAGTGTTGTCATCGTTTGTATTGCAACATACTTTTTATCTGTGTGCGTGTGACTGTGCAGCAACACTTTTTGGCATCTTTTCGCCTTTGGTGTTGGAAAAAGTTGCCAAAGTGTTTGACAGTAGCGTTAAGGCAACACTTCAATATTACTTGCTTAGATCTTAGCATGGAAATTTCGCGAAAAGTAGTTTGCTTTGATGATATTTCGGCAAGAAATACAAAAGGATTTAAAGAGAGTTTGTGGATAGCAACTTTTCTCCAAGATATTTTTTGTTTATATTATACATTTAATATACATTTCTTAAAAATATAATTCAAAATTTTCATAAAATTTTTCATTCGACATTTTCTATAAATATTGGGTAGTCGAAAAAGTATTTTCGTATTTTGTCAATAGATGTCGTTGCAGTCGTATTTTTCCAGTACTACCAAGCAAATTGTGCCTCCCCATATAATGTTGAAAATGTGAGATTTTAAGCTTCATTAAACTAAAAATTTCGCTTGGCACTGATGGAATAATGTCTCTAGCGGAAAAATGGTAAAAAGTGGTCGACAAAAATGGTACATATTTTTTAATTTGTTTATTTGTATAAATATAAATTCTTTTGTAATATGTTATAATTACTGGATCTAGATCGATTTTATTTCATAAAAAATTAACTAAAAAATTAAAGTTTTATAGCTGACATTGCAAATAACTTGAAAGAAACTGATAACTTATGTCTATACTAAATCCTAAGAGACCTGTCGCTATACTTTTGAATACCATTCACCAAATTTTTGACATCCCGTCTTACTTTCCTAGGTGTCGCTGCTAATGCTTTCTTCTCTTCCTTCTTGCGATCCTCTTTTTCACGCATTTGGTCGATGTATATTGAAAAATTTAGAGAGTTTCGAATTGGTGGTTGACGTGGAGAGTTCGTAGAGATATTACTTTGTATTCTAATTCTCA